TCCCCTTTAAGGGTCCAACTGGGGAAACTTTGTACCTTATTTTCCCCTGAAAGGTTCATACTTTAAGGGCTCATAATACGGTACTAACATGCAACTTTTGCAGAGTTAGTCAAGGTTTAAAGTCTCTTTAAGGGCCCTTCGCCATCAGGAGCTGGTTTACCATTCTGGGGCCCCAACATTACGTAACATTTTACTCTGAATTGCACAGTAATATTGAATAGAATTAAGTGAGACATTTAAAAATATATATTTGTTTAACTTTAAACTGCATAACAAAAATTGGAACTTGCTCCCTTAAGCTTTAAGATATAAACTTTCTTGGTTTTGTATTCATCAAGAGTCTTAATTTTGTCCATTGTCTTCAATATTCAAAGTCCATTTACAGTAGCTATGAGAACTTGAACAATTGTCGTCTTATTGTGAAATAGACGATCTGATATTCTGGTTTTCAAATGTGTGTTAGTGATTGTATTCAGTCTTTTAAACACTTTTATAATGATCATGTTAGATGATAACGGGTCATCGGCACCGTCATGTAATAGTTTTCTCTTCAGGGCAGAGAATCAGAGTTGTCGGATTTACAACACGCAAATTCATCCACTTCTCCCGAAAGACATGAACGTAAGTAGCCGGTGAACTGGGAGAAAAATAAAAAGTAAACTATTTAGAGACCGACACGGCGTATTTCTGATGTGAATAAAACATGGTGGCAAATTAGAAGGGTTTTAATTGGCGCGTACATAGACATCAGCGTGCAGACGCGGCCTTACCTATGTTTCACTCGTTTCAATTGAAACAGGCCCTGCCCTCCAAGGGGGGCCCCAACAGACCAGCAACATCCCGTTCATTTTCCCTAGGATATTGATTGTCAGCCATAATGTCTAAACCAATGTAGATTGACCACGAGCTACGAGGTTCTGAAGCGAAAGTTTCTGCTCCTATAAAAGCCACAAGCTACGAAATCAACCTTGTTATTTGAAATCTTCTGGAGAAATACTACACTACCCACAATTCTATTCAGACGTCTCTGATTGGTTGAAGTCGCGGTTACCATGGCGACGTTTACCACCCCCGCGAACGGCTTAAGCGATCTGAAGTGTAATATCGGTAGTTTGTGTGTTTATATCTTTGCCAGGCTGTCCACCATGCTGAAATAACGCGGAGCCCATCGTTATTTATGATACGTTCGGTTCAGTGTTAGTCAGACACTTTTTCTTCTTTGCTTTTGTTAAATAATTCAAGTTGAGGGAATGTTTGAGCTGTTTTTTTTAAGTCAGCCCAGACAGCTGAAAATATATTGCGCAAAATCAATGAGGCAGTGAAGTTGCCCTGCGTGAAAGGGCGAGGCTTATTCCAACGTAAAACGCTGTATAATTGTATATAGTTTTTATCAAATAAGGTTGGATTATTTCTATGTTGAGCTGCCTGTTCATGAAGCTGAAAGTGCACGTAATAAAATAATATACCATTGATGCAAACCAACAGGAATCCGTGCTTTTTCTGCTCTATTATGTTTATGTTTTATGTGGGTAGGGCCCCATATTAGTTATTGAAACGGGCCCCCAGATGTTTAAGGCCGACGCTGTCAGCCTGCATTTTACAAACTAAATATGATTTATTTGTGATATATGACAAGCACTGAGCCAAAGCATGCACGCCGATTTGTTTAGTGTTAGTTCACCCAAAGATGAAAATGTCATCATTTACTCAGGTAACCTCATGTCGTTCCAAACCCATAAGACTTTCATGCATCTTCGGCACCCAAATTTGAAGATTTTAATTTTAATGCAATTTGAGAGATTTCTGTCCCTCCATTGAAACTCTGGCGCTTCAAAACGTTCATGAATCGAGCAGTTAAATCCAAGAAGAGACACGATTGCTTTAACCCTCTGGGGTCCTTCGGCCCAAATGGACCCGAAGCATTTAAATATATATATATATTTTTTTAAATCATAGCTTTATCGGAATGGTCCTGAAATTTGGTAACTTTGTTGGTACTTGGTATATGAACACCCCAAAAAAATGGGGACAGGATTTGAATAGTCTAAGTGGTTGTAAAAAAAATAGTCACACTCAGGACCTTCGGGTCCAAATGGACCCGCATAGGAAATGAATGGGAAATTGGCAAAAATGTGAAAATACAGAGTTTTTTTGTGCGTACAATCTACAAATCAGCCACGATCCAGAAAAAAAGTACACAACAGTGAAGGGGTGAATCTATAAAACATCAAGAGTGCAAAACAGACACATCCACACACACACACACACAAACACACTTTTATACACATACACACTAATAAATTCAGATTACATGGGTTTTGAATTTTTAAAACGCTCAGTTTGTCCACCAGATGGCATCCATCTCATTTCAAAAATTGCTTTCATGAGGCCTAGGCTTGACTCTAAAATGAAATACAGCTTTAAAAAATAAAATAAAAAATAAAATCTATTATATTCAATGGGGAAAAAATGGGTCATAATAATTGCATTAATATTAATTATAAATCATTTTTGTTTTTGAAATTATCTCAAAACACCAAAAAAGAAAAGAAAAAATATTATAAAAGAAAAGTAAACAAAAAAGAAAAGAAGATTTTTTAAAATAAATATTAATCCCACCCTTCCGGCCCATTTGGACCCGAAGGTCCTGAGTGTGACTCTGAAATGAAGGACCCCAGAGGGTTAAATGATGAGCAGATTAAATTTAGGCTTATCCACATATAAACATTGATCAGCGAACAATGTTTGCAGGATTTTACATTTGTTTACGGAAGCAGTTTGTTTATGTAATAAATAGGGGTGTAACAATATATCGCAATACAAAAATGCAACAATATGCATCGTAGATAGTGACAATATGTTCACCCAAAATAAACAAATTACTGTGTGAGAAAAAATTCAGTGTCAGTACAACATTTAACTACTATATAACGTTGAATATAATGTATAATAATGCAATGGGGGATATTTGTGGGTCCTGATAATGCCAGATGTTACCAGTAAAAAGTGGCCGACATTATTTTAAATACATCTAGTCAGTGAAAAAGTGCAAACATATTCGTCTAAAATAATCCTGTATTTTCAGCTTCAGAATCATGAATATTGTTATTCTGGCGTCTCTATTGTCCTGTGCTTTGGGTTTCAGCTCCAAGTCCAAAGCCTATTCACACACAATGTAATACTAAATTTAGCATTTTAATCAACAGTAACCTTTTATCATATGTCTTGAGTATCGCAATAATATCATATCGTGAGTTCAGAATCGTGATATGTATCTGACCATGACATAAGGGCATCGTAACACTCCTAGTAATAACTGTGGTCACACACTGGTTTAACTGGTTGGCCTCAGACCTGCTGGTTAACAATGCTCCTGTTCCCAGTGCGAACTATTCAAACCCTACAAGTTTATTGCATGTTTTTCTGACAGTGAAGCTGTTTTTTCCTAGAGTAGTGACGCAACACTACATCAGCTTCCCAGCTGAACAAACAAGGCAATAATCCCCTCGGAGTGAAGGAAACGCTTTCGTCTGACGTCTGAGACATGAGCGCTTCAATGATCATTAGGATTTATGATTTATGATGATGTACTGGTGTCACAGCGTCTCCCTTGGAAGGGGTATTTTATTGTTGAGTAGGGCTGCACGATATTGAAGAAAAATGCGATATGCGTTAACGATATGATATTCGATATGCGAAACTATAATGTGTCAAATAAACTTAAATATATTTTAAATTATGTAACCTACATACGTGCTTCACATTCAAGAAAACCTCTCTACAGCTTCTGAAAGTGAACATCAGTGTTTTACTGAAGCATATGATATGTTATTTAACATCATTGGGGTTCAGGTTATCCTACATTAGGGTTATTTAACAACAGAAACTGAATAATCAAATGTAAAAATAAAACACTTAGTTTTCACTATGGATTAAATATATCCTGATTCTTATTAAAGCTACAAAAGTTATTCAGCAAACAGCAGCGAGTGATTTTCTCTCTCTCTCTTTTGTTCATGACCCCAGATATATATATATTTGCGATATATTTCGATAATTTCGATATATTGCGCAGCCCTATTGTTGAGCTTAATAATAATAAGAAAGCTTTAATTTTGTTAAGTCTGGGTTTGATTTATGAATAAATGATCAGTAACAGGTCTGATCCACTACAAATATTCTGATCAGGTTTGAAAAGAATGTCATTTATTAAAATGATAATAAAGTGTATGAAGATGAACATATTATTATAATCTCAACCCTGAGATATACTGTATACCAGTCTCTTTAACTCAGTCCTGATCTGTAAATGTCTGAAAGCACTATATCAATGAAATGACTAATCTTGACTCTTTCCAATAACTTTAGTTTAGCGTTTAGTGTAGTATTTTCACTGTAGTTGAAGTGAACACTTCATTACAGGTGAAACTCAAACAATTAGAATATCGTGCAAAAGTTCGTTTATTTCAGTAAATCAACTTAAAAGGTGAAACTAATATATTATATAGACTCATTACATGCAAAGTGAGATATTTCAAGCCTTTATTTGTTATAATTTTGATGATTATTGTTAGCTTATGAAAACCCCAAATTCAAAATTAGAATATTGTGAAAAGGTTTTCATAAGCTGTAAGCCATAATCATCACAATTATAACAAATAAAGGCTTGAAATATCTCACTTTGCATGTAATGAGTCTATATAATATAGTAGTTTCACCTTTTAAGTTGAATTACTGAAATAAACGAACTTTTGCACGATATTCTAATTGTTCGAGTTTCACCTGTATGTGTAGCTTCACAAACTACAGTTTCACTTGTAACTTACAAAGTAACTTTGATTCTTGCCTTGTTTGTGCGAGAAGCTCGAGTTCAAATCCTGGACGATTAGTTATCATTTTCAACTAATCCATGGGGAAGTTAATGGGTTTACAAAGACTTAAAAAATGCAGTTGTCTTCCACTGAATGAGGGAAACTGAACGCTTGCTTGCTTTGTTTCAGATCCGTGTTTTGAGTTCGGTCTCTCGGCTGTTCTGGGAATCGCGTTCGGAGGATTCCTGATCGGGGTTCTCCTCACCGGTGCTTTATGGTTCATTAAGATTCGCACAGGTGAGTAACAGTCGTGGGGAACGAGTTATGAGTGACTTAAATGAATACTCAAGCGTGAGAAGATGTATTTGGTAGAGTTTTCTCTGCTCCTTTAGCTTATGAGGGAAGAGGTGGAGAGAGCCGCTCTAACAAGCCTCGCGGTGATTTGCCACTAGAAATAAGATGAAGCAGTTAAGTAAGGCCGCAGTATCTCCAGACTGATGATTTAGGGTCTCATTTATAAAACTGTGCGTAGGATCCTTACTAAAAGTGTAGCTAAGTGCGCCCGAAAGCCAAAAATGGCGGACGCCAAAAAAATATATTCAGAGGCTGCGCCTACTTATACTACGCCCTAAAAGTATGGACTCTTTTTGTGAAGAAAAAGTACATACTTTTGAGTGTGTAGCAAAAGAGTAGGCAAGCTTTGGGACACACTACTTCGTCATCTTTAACGGACGCTCTGTCGCGTGTATCTGTCACTGTAAACTGCCCTGTCAATCATCCTGTCTCCGTAAACTGCCCTGCCAATCACCCTGTCACCGTAAACTGCCCTGTCAATCATCCTGTCACCGTAAACTGCCCTGTCAATCATCCTGTCCCCGTAAACTGCCCTGTCAATCATCCTATCACCGTAAACTGCCCTGTCAATCATTCTGTCACTGTAAACTGCCCTGTCAATCATCCTATCACCGTAAACTGCCCTGTCAATCATCCTGTCTCCGTAAACTGCCCTGCCAATCACCCTGTCACCGTAGACTGCCCTGTCAATCATCCTATCACCGTAAACTGCCCTGTCAATCATCCTGTCTCCGTAAACTGCCCTGCCAATCACCCTGTCACCGTAAACTGCCCTGTCAATCATCCTGTCACCGTAAACTGCCCTGTCAATCATCCTGTCACCGTAAACTGCCCTGTCAATCATCCTGTCTCCGTAAACTGCCCTGCCAATCACCCTGTCACCGTAAACTGCCCTGTCAATCATCCTGTCACCGTAAACTGCCCTGTCAATCATCCTGTCTCTGTAAACTGCCCTGTCAATCATCCTGTCCCCGTAAACTGCCCTGTCAATCATCCTGTCTCTGTAAACTGCCCTGTCAATCATCCTGTCTCTGTAAACTGCCCTGTCAATCATCCTGTCACCGTAAACTGCCCTGTCAATCATCCTGTCTCTGTAAACTGCCCTGTCAATCATCCTGTCACCGTAAACTGCCCTGTCAATCATCCTGTCTCTGTAAACTGCCCTGTCAATCATCCTGTCTCTGTAAACTGCCCTGTCAATCATCCTGTCACCGTAAACTGCCCTGTCAATCATCCTATTATCATGCGCTAATAAGCAAACATTAAAGCCACAGGAAGTTTTCAAAAGCAGCGCGTCCACTACAAATATTTCAATTTATTAGAATATAAAAAATATTGTAACTTCTCAGTAATGATTTCATGTAATTTAAGTGCTTAACTCTATTAATGAGAGTGGCATATTTAATCTAAATGTGTATATCAGATGTAAAACATAGTTGAAATCATTATTTTATTGTTATTGTGAACATGCACTGTATTTATGATTAGGACTCATAATGAGGATTTAAAGTGTCGTCAGTCGGTGTCGCCAAACTGCGCCGAAATGTTCGTACGCTTACAGGTGCGCATTCTCCGTCACGTTTGTTTTTAATAGATCACGACCTTTGCTTGGGAAGTGGCAAACCGGGGTTGTAAACATGCGTACGCCACGTTTATAAATGAGACCCCTGGACTTGTGTAAAAGTCCTGAATATAAGCGGGTTCTGTGGACTCGTGATGTAACGTGTGCATGTGTTTCAGGGCATCCTGTGGCTCTGGGAATGAGATCAGCAGCGGCCGAACTCTCAGGTAAACCTCAATCTGTTCTTCTGCACACTTCCTCTGCTCTTTTCCTGTCGCATTTCCTTTCGAAGGTGCGATCGCTTCACACGATAGTTGCTGTGGAAATCTGTCCTCGTTTGTTTTCGTGGATCGCGCTCAATATATAAGAGACGGCGCCAACTCCTGCGAAGACCTCAGATGACGCAAGCTCTGAATGCACACGCAGTTTTATAAATGTCTTAATCATTTGTTAAAGGGATAGTTCACTTCAAAATGAAAATTCGGTCGTCATATACGCACCCTCAAGTCGTTTCAAACCTGTGTGAATTTCTTTCTTCTGCTGAAAGAAAGAAATTCATACAGGTTTGAAACAATGGTAACACTAAGCTTGAAGGGGTGTGCATAAGACTGACATGACACCTTCATAATCATGACATGACACATGAATATGAAGGAGGGTTTATGCATGTTTATGACAACTGTCATTAAGTGTCATTCGCTCAATATGACATTTTTAATGCAAATATGACATTGTTTGAGATGTCTTTGTTATGACAACTTGACATAAACCTATATATCATAACCTGTCAGAGTCTTTTCATGACAACTTGACATTACTAAGACAACACAACCTGTCATAAATATGTCATAAACATGACATAGCAGATTAATTGTCAAACTTAATAAACCACTTAGCTTTATGGGTTAACATTACATTAAACTGTCATGTGGTTGGTTTTGACATTGGCTGTCATGAGGCCGTTATAACATTTTAATGACAAATTCAATTTGTGCCACTGTAGTTGAGGTCAAGAAAAATATTCATGACACAGTTATAATGCCTCATGACAGCCAATGTCAAAACCAACCACATGACAGTTTAATGTAATGTTAAACCATTAAGCTAAGTGCTTTCTTAAGTTTGATCATTAATATGCTATGTCATGTTTATGACATATTTATGACAATTTATGATGTATTGGTTTATGTCAAGTTGTCATGACAAAGACATCTCAAACAATGTCATATTTGCATTAAAAATGTCATAATTGAGCGAATGACACTTAATGACAGTTGTCATAAACATGCATAAACCTCCTTCATATTCATGTCATGTCATGATTATGAAAGTGTCATGTCAGTCTTATGCACACCCCTTCAAGTAAAGTGTTACCGAAACGACTTGAGGGTGAGTATATGATGACCGAATTTTCATTTTGAAGTGAACTATCCCTTTAACAAACAAGTATTCATTACTTCAATGAGCTCATTGTTTCTGGATTAAATTATTACATTGTTTAAACTGATAAATTAGGACGAATTTAAGGGCGCCCAGAGATCGATTGTATTAATGGAATGGGTGCGATGGGGCCCAACCTCATAGAGGCGAAACTCGAAACATGAGAATATCGTGCAAAAGTTATAATTTTGATGGCTTACAGCTTATGAAAACCCCAAATTCAAAATCTCAGAAAATTAGAATATTACATGAAATCAATAAAAAAAAAAGGATTTTAAATACAGAAATGTCGGCCCTTTGAAAAGTGTAATCATGCATATATACAGGTGAAACTTAAAAAATTTGAATATCGTGCAAAAGTTCAGTAATTCAACTTAAAAGCTGAAACTGATATATTATATAGACTCATTACATGCAAAGTGAGATATTTCAAGCCTTTATTTGTTATAATTGTGATGATTATGGCTTACAGCTTATGAAAACCTTTGCACAATATTCTAATTTTGAATTTGGGGTTTTCATAAGCTGTAAGCCATAATCATCACAATTATAACAAATAAAGGCTTGAAATATCTCACTTTGCATGTAATGAGTCTATATCACCTTTTAAGTTGAATTACTGAACTTTTGCACGATATTCGAATTTTTCGAGTTTCACTTTATATATACTAAATATATTAGTTCCACCTTTTAATTTGAATTGCTGAAATACATGTTGCACGATATTCTAATTTTTCGAGTTTCACCTGTATTCTTTCATAGGGCCCAAAATTGCTAGCGGTGCGTCTGTGAACTGGTACACCGCCCCGCACTAACTGAAGAATATTCCCTGTTTTGTCCAGTGCTTTCTCTATCCGGATGCCCATGTGGTTTGACCAAACGCCAGCCCGTGCCCACCCACCCGTCTCCGTCCGAGGACAGCAGTGCCAACGCCAGCATCGGCAGCACCCAGAGCACACCCACCAGCAGCATGGCATAACGTCATAACATAACCATAACTCTGTCCCTCTGCAAGCCAGAGAAAGCCAGAGACGCTTGAGTTCCCTGTTCCTCACACACACTCCATTCGCTCAGCCGGCTACGGGAAGTCAGCGGGGACGAAGAATAAAAAAAGAAAACGCTTGGCTCCCAGAGACAGGAAAAACAACGCATAACCCCCAGGAACTAACAGGAAATTCGTGGCATTCTTGCGCCGGTGCCTCTCTGACGGAGGCCACATGAGACGTCTCAGACAAACAGCACATGACGCATCAGTCCGGCTAAATGTGGCTCACAGAGACCAACAAACAAACGTCAGACGGACCGCCTCACATCCCATAACACTCATGATGTGATATGATGAAACAGTCAAACTAATCAAAACAGCGATGATAAAACGAAGCATTTGTATTTTTAGAGTTCGTACTGTACTCTCACATGCATGGGACAGATTGGAAAATGGCTACCTCGAGTCTCTAAGAGTCTCTATGGATGTAGATTTGTTAAATATTTGCTTGACCAAAACTAGAAACAGTGGCTGCATGAATCTCATGAAATTATTATTTGCATATTTAACCCCCGAATCAATACAAGGCCGAAATTAATTATGACTTTTTTTTTTTTGCATTGCATTGCAATCTCATTCTTATTACTGAAAATTAGATTTAATTTTGTATTTTTTTTGGATCATAGTAGTATTTGTTGCATTGCTAAATTGAAAATTGTGAATTTAAATATAAATATTATGGCTGTAATAAATAAGTAATTAATAAAATTAATTATAAGACTTTTTGCATTGCAATCTCATTCTTATTACTGAATTTTATTTTTTTATTTTTTTTGGGATCATAGTAGTATTTGTTGCATTGCTAAATTGAAAATTGTGAATTTAAATATAAATATTATGGCTGTAATAAATAATTAATTAATAAAATTAAGTATAAGCCTTTTTTGCATTGCAATCTCATTCTTATTACTGAAATTACGATTTGTTTTGTTTTTGGTTTTGGGATCATAGTAGTATTTGTTGCATTGCTAAATTGAAAATTGTGAATTTAAATATAAATATTATGGCTGTATTAAATAATTAATTAATAATCCTTCATTTTCTTTATGCAAAATGTTTTTTTTTCTTCCTCTTTTGATTATGGGGTGTAATATGAGCCAAGATGTTTTCATGAGATTCATATGGGTGTTTTTTTTCTTCTCATGATCAAATGGTTTGTTCATAAAACTTTGTAACTTTGTCATGAAAATGTGGTTATTAGCATTAGTAATTAAGCAACTTCAAATCAGTTTTTTTACTCTTTATTTTGAGGTGACGTAGTTACACGTTACTGCATGTACTTACTATTTCAATAACAGTAAATTATGCATAATTACCAAACCATAACCGTAACTCTATAGTAAGTACATGGTTAATTAATATTCTCAGTACTTATTTGAGCAAGTACAATGTAACTACGTTACCTTAAAAAAATTGTGTGTGGCTATTATATGTACAGTATATGCATTATGCTGTAGATTCAGTATATAGTAAATTCATAACTTTAGCAGTTGGCCTGAAGTTTTCATATTTGAGTTCATAAGTGAAAATGAGCCCAACAAAACCAAAAACTCTTGTGATGTAGCTTATTTTACAACAGTATACTAAGGATTTCATATGAATTTATTCATGTATTTGTATTATTGTGTGTGTGTGTATGTGTGTGAGAGAGAGAGAGAGATAAAATCATCATCACTTCTCAACCCTCATGTTATTCCAAGCCTGTATGCCTTTCTTTCATCGGTGGAGCACAAAAGGAGACGTTTAGCACAATGTTCACGCTGCTCTTTTGCAGACAGAGGCTGTCAAGCGTCAAAAAGCATAAAAGTATTCATGCGCCACATCCCAGGTCTTCTGAAATCATCTGATAGTTTTGTATTATTGAGGAACAGAGCCAATTTTGCATCATGTTCAGTGTGTGGTGTGTGACGGATGTGTGTGTGTGAAGCGTACAGCTGTGAACTGTTCCTTTAACATCAGCTGGATGTGAAAAAAGCAGGAAAATGCCACTTGTGCATTTGGTGCAATATCTGTGGTATTCTTTTATGTTCTTATAATTATTTGTGTCTGTATGTAAACTGTTTTATACTGCATTGTTATATCAACTTTTATAAATAACATTTGTATTGCATGTTTCTGTTTTCTCTGGAACGTTACCATTTAAAGCACTTCCCGAACGGTCATTATCTGGTCATATTTGTTCAGTTTTCCCCATTTTGAAGAATTATTTTAATCCAATTTGACATACTTTAAATTAAATCATGAAAACAATGCCTCCTAATGTCATTAGAGTTTATTTATTGCTTCTCCGCTGATGTTCTTGGCCTGTGCTGAGACTTGCAGAACTGCCAAAAGTTTGTACATTCAAGTTTTGTCCAACTCTGTTCTGCACATGTACAGTATATTACAGTATATTACAGTGTATTACCGTATATTACAGTATATTACAGTGTATTACAGTATATTACAGTGTATTACCGTATATTACAGTATATTACAGTACATTACAGTATATTACAGTGTATTACCGTATATTACAGTATATTACAGTGTATTACAGTATATTACAGTGTATTACCGTATATTACAGTATATTACAGTACATTACAGTATATTACAGTGTATTACAGTATATTACAGTGTATTACAGTATATTACAGTGTATTACAGTGTATTACCGTATATTACAGTATATTACAGTGTATTACAGTATATTACAGTGTATTACAGTATATTACAGTGTATTACAGTATATTACAGTGTATTGCAGTATATTACAGTATATTACAGTGTATTACAGTATATTACAGTGTATTACAGTATATTACAGTGTATTACAGTATATTACAGTGTATTACCGTATATTACAGTGTATTACAGTATATTACAGTGTATTACCGTATATTACAGTGTATTACAGTATATTACAGTATATTACAGTGTATTACAGTATATTACAGTATAATACAGTGTATTACAGTATATTACAGTATATTACAGTATATTACACTGCCTGACCAAAAAAACTCACTCTATTATTTCATCGGACTATTTCATCATTTTATTTCAATGTGCATTCGTCGTGGCATTGCTTTGAGAACCTTATGCAACATCACAGCATTTATTTCCAACAAGAAATGTCGCTTTTGGCTTGCTTGGGGACATTTAATATTCAACAATGTTATTGATCTCCTGCATTGACACCATTATATGAGAGCTGAACTGAGCTGGACGATGACATCACGGTTTTCTACAGAGCGGCTATATATATAAATGAACTAAGTTAACAACAAAAATGAGCCATCACTGAACTTGCTTAAGCTGGACTGTGACGCTATTTTCTTCTAGAAACAAACTTTGTTGCATTATTATTTTTATCTCTGTAAAGCTGCTCTGAAACACTCTGTGTTGTAAAAGCGCTGTATAAATATGTTGACGATGGGAGAGTTCAAGCGCTCTGTAAAGTCTTGCTTGTCGCATCCCAAGACTTGTAATTTAGTTCTGGTCAGGACTCTGTGGTGTAATGATTCCTCGTGCTCCCTGACACACTCTTTCACAATCTGAGCCCAAACTTGGCATCGTTATCCTGGAATATGGCCATGGGATACGACTTCCGACAGGGTTGTTTAACCCTTGTGTTCTGTTCGATTTCTGTGTACACCCCTTATTGACCGGGTCAAATTGACCCAGATTGGATTCAATACAATTCCTCAAAAATCACACTATGAAAAACAACAAAGATTTAGATACAAACTGTAAACTTTTAATATCAACATTTGTCAAACATTACAAAAACATTATATCTGAAAATATGATTTATGAAAATGTTTTTAAAACATTTTTTAAAACAGTTTTGTTTTGAGAAAATTGGAAAATAAACACTATACTGATTTTTTTTGCATATATATATTTTTTCCTTTTTTTTCTTTTCTTTTACATTTTATGCTTTGAACATCGTAACTGAACAAAAAAAAAATTGCTGTATAATGAAAATTTTTCATTTTCCTAAGTTAACTTTCCCTAGTTTCCTAAGACCTATTGTCCTAGTTTCATTATTCACTCACTGGGAAGTGAGAAACCAAACATAACAAAATCATACATCAAATAAATGTGTTTTTATTTATTTATTGGCTCTGTGAATCTGCCTTTGAAAATCCTACATAAAAGTTTTGGTTAAAAGCTAGGTATTTTAGATATTTTGAATATTGAAATGAGAGCTTATTTTACTATCTGTGTCTGACAAAGATTTTCATCTGTAATTTGCAAATAATTCTGAACACTGTAATTTTAGCTTTTTCAAGTGTGTTTGGTTAGGGTTAGAGCACTTTTAGATACACTTGCACGTTAGAACTGGAGTTGAAGTGCCCTGACATACAGAAAATAAATGTTTTTATTTTGTGTCTGTACAGTTGCTTCTGAATGGCTGTCTATGAGGGTCAAATTGACCCGCGAACATCACGAACGTAACAGTAATTTTGTTTGTATATGTCAAAACACATCAGCATGTTGAAACTTTGCATGCATGTTCATCATGATAAATGAGAAAAAGTCACAAAATATCAAGAAAAAAAACAAAGGTTAACCAGTATTTCCAACAACTTGAAAATCGAAACGGGTCAAATTGACCCGCAACATAACACAAGGGTTAACAGATGAAAAGTTAGGGTTAGAATAACTGTTGCCAAACATACAACATTAATCACTGCAATAATGCAATATTTAAATATAAAGTGGCTTTTTTTAGTCCGGCAGCATCATGACATCACACAACACGCTCCCGATAGGACATCACATTTCAAAGGGAATTAATCTACTAAAATTGAATGTCAATTTTTTATTTGTGAAGTTTTTAATCATAATCTACTAATATACATTCAATCATTGGCAAAAATCCAACATGAAAACCTTAAAACAGTGCATGTGGCAAATAGATTGAAGAATAGGAGTGGTTCTAGCTCAAGCACACCTG